GCAGGAATCGAACACCCGACTGGGCAGCTTTATTCTAAAAATATATAAGCGGTAGTCCACGCCAGTGTTTCCCAATCTTTTTAGAGCCACAGCGTGTAACCCCACGGCCCATCACAAAACAAAAAGAAATTCTGAATTTACTCACAATCAATTTACTCGGTGCAAAACCTGGTTATGTTTAGTTGAACACAAAACGGACATATTTGTAGGAATGGAAGAAAGACATGAAGCTTGTCACTGTGACACGGACACAAGAAGACAAATGATTTGCAGTAAATCAATTATCCTAAGACCAATAAAGTAAAATCATTTTAAAAAATGTCATTGGCATACTTGATTAACTGTCATAGCACACTACTGTACCGTGGAATCACTGATCTCCAGTATGTACGTTAATTGGCATTCATGACGATGTACTCAGATAGAGAGCTAGATAGATAGATAGAGAGATAGATAGATACAGAGCTAGATAGATAGATAGATAGATAGAGAGATAGATAGATAGATAGAGAGAGAGAGCTAGATAGATAGAGAGAGAGAGCTAGATAGATAGAGAGAGAGAGAGAGAGCGAGAGAGAGAGAGAGATAGATAGAGAGAGAGAGAGAGAGCGAGAGAGAGAGAGAGATAGATAGAGAGAGAGAGAGAGAGCGAGAGAGAGAGAGAGATAGATAGAGAGAGAGAGAGAGAGCGAGAGAGAGAGAGAGATAGATAGAGAGCTAGATAGATAGAGAGATAGATAGATAGATAGAGAGAGAGAGAGAGAGCGAGAGAGAGAGAGAGATAGATAGAGAGAGAGAGAGAGCTAGATAGATAGAGAGAGAGAGCTAGAGAGATAGATAGAGAGATACATAGATAGATAGAGAGAGAGAGCTAGAGAGATAGATAGAGAGATAGATAGATACAGAGCTAGATAGATAGATAGATAGATACATGGATAGATGTACTTTATTGATCCCATGGCATTGGAAAAATTGCATTTTTTTTTTATATTCCCATGCATGCTTTTTTTGTTCACGTTATTTTTAGGAAGCTCACATTTGTAGTAATGGTCATATTTTGTGTGTCATTTTTCTTCCAGCTCTGAAACAGGTCCCCGCTGTAGTTCTCCAGAAGACTCAGAGCTTGGTGGATCAGACGGCACCAAAGCAAACCAAAACCGTGAGTCACTCCAGCAGGGTTTCTGTAAGTGATGCTTACAATCAAACGGATGAAGTGTCACCTGTATGTACGTCCACAGCTGAAATACATTTGTGAGCCTTCCCGTTGACTCAACATGAATAGGTACAACATGAATAGACTATGTAATAATACAGTGGACACCGTACAGTGTTCCCTCTCTATATCGCTAACGGTTCTCCTTTCGCTCCCTCAGTACATCGTAGATTTTTTTTTTTTTTCTTGTTCAATATTTTCATAATTTTTGTGATTAAAAAAACGTTCTAACCTAACAAAGATAAACAGTAAAAATATAGCAAACTATAAACTAAAAGACATTGCTAATAGCTTGGTTGTTGTTGTTGTTGTTTGTTTTGTTTAACTCAGAGGAGATCGTACACAGCATTGAGCGTGCACTTCTGTTCCGTTCCTCACACTGATTGGCTCATGCGTCGTAGCATCTCTCGGCTCTCACTCATTTTGCCCTGCGCCGTTATACGTCTAGTACGTTGCTGTAAAGTTTGTGCTCTTGTGTTCGGTGAAAGTTGACCCTAATTTTGAAGACGCGGACACAGATGACAACGTGTATGAACTCGTATGAATTTGAATTTGAATTTATGATTAGAATGTTTTTTTTTTACATTGTTTTTCATGGTTGTGTATTTCATTTATTTGTGTAGTATTTATGTCTTATATGTCCATTATGCAACTCTACTGTGCATATACTCTAATTGTGTGGGGAAAGGAAGGGTGATAACAGTGTGGGGGGGAGGTTCATAAAGGGTAAATATATACAAAAAATAATATAATAACTATCTCGACCTCTATTTCGCGGATTTTCCCTTTTCACGGTGGGTCTTGGAACGCAACTACAACTACTTGCTATAGAGGGACTTTTATATTCCATGATTAAAGTCTGCAACTATTGCAAGAATTTGCTCCTGATACGAGGAAATATCAAGTAACGAGTGCTCGTTTTTCCACCCAAATTTGAAAGTCCTACGACTGTTGGTGATGCCGGCGACGATGATAGTAGTGATGTTGATGATGTAGCGGTGATGAATGATGAAGATTAACTTTTAATTAAATAAAAAAAAATATATATATATACTGTATATAATCCTTCTCTTATGCTTGGTGGGCCTGACATTTTTATTATTATGGTTTATTTTACCCATTCTTATCACAATAATATAAAATGTTTTCTTAATTATTATTTTATATTACAAATACATTTGTGTATATCTATGTTTTTCATGTTTAGATGCGGGGATTAATAGTATTAATAGTTCTGGGGGTGGGGGAGGCTGAAACAAAATTTTTTTTTAGTTTTGAATGGGGAAAAAATTTGATCTAGACCGAGACACGAGTGCTGTTTTGGATTGGATTAGACTCGTATCTAGGGAGTCCACTGTACTGAAGTGTCTTTTACTGCCATTAAACACTAAAAGTAATAGTTCGCCTACAGTACAGTAATATAGATATAGATTATCAGCAGTGTTAGTACCAGAGGTGTGGACTCGAGTCGCATGACTTGGACTCGAGTCAGACTCGAGTCATCACTTTGATGACTTTAGACTCGACTTGACAAAATGTAAAGAGACTTGCAACTCGACTTGCACTTTAACATCAATGACTCGTGACTTCACCTGGACTCTAGCCCTTTGACTCGACAAGACTCGATAGTTCCTCCAAAACCCAAAGTGATCTGTGGAAATATATTGTTATTTTATTTAAAAGGACTCGAAACAGAAACGGCAGGACCTGGGACTTGACTTGACACTTTTCTTGTCTTGACTTGGACTCGACTCGGACTTTGCCTGTCCTGACTTGAGACTTGACTCGGACTTGAGTGCAAAGACTTGAGACTTACTTGTGACTTGCAAAGCAACGACTTGGTCCCACCTTTGGTTAGTACTAGTCAACGGTTTATCCATACTCAGGTCTCATGTCACAGCTTTTGAATGAAACAATAAAATAGTTTCCTAACACTCCACCAGCTAAAGTATGTGTTCTTATTGTTTACATTACGTACATTTTGTGGCAGTGAAACATAATTTGCGTCCGTCTCGCTTTTCGTCTGCAGCATGTGTTTGGAGTGTGTGCGTCGCTAGAAAAGCTCCACTAGTGGCATCCGACTGCTCTTTCTCCAGCAGCTCTGACAGTGATGAAGACGAAAGCAAGACGACGTCTGCGTCCAACAGGACAGTCACCACAGAAGCCATCACAACTGACTCCGGCAAGAAGACTTCCGGACTAAGTGTGGATGCGAAAAAGAATACGTAAGTTCCTGTGTTTACTTTATCTGGGGACTTGTTTTTTTCATGTTCCTGCAGTTGATTTTCTTCTAATGTCCTACTCTTGTCTCCTCCCTTGTTTATCGTTGTTTCTTAAAAGCCGAACATTTAGCAAATTATTTTCCGGACATGTACAAAACACTTTTGTTTTATCTGGTGTTTTACAGGATGCAAAACAACATAGGAAACAGATTTTAAGGTTAATACCAGAGGTGGGACCAAGTCATTGCTTTGCAAGTCACAAGCAAGTCTCAAGTCTTTGCACTCAAGTCCGAATCAAGTCTCAGGTCAAAATAGGCAAAGTCCGAGTCGAGTCCAAGTCAAGACTGAAAAGTGTCAAGTCAAGTCCCAAGTCCTGCCGTTTCTGTTTTTCGAGTCCTTTCGAGTCCTTCCACTCACTGCCACTCCTTTTTTGTTGACCATCTCGTACTTTTTAAATCCGAACAACACGATCTTTGCTATCATTTTCCCTTGTCCCGCAATTTGATTGGCCAACGTTTTATTTGATTGGATGTTGTGCACGATGAGAGATACACAGACGCTCCTCAATAACTTACTTTATAATCTTTGGGTTTTGGAGAAAGTATCAAGTCATGTCGACTCAAAGGGCCCGAGTCCAAGTGAAGTCACGTGTCATTGATGTTAAAGTCCAAGTCGAGTTCCAAGTCTCTTTACATTTGGTCAAGTCGAGTCTAAAGTCATCAAATTGATGACTCGAGTCTGACTCGAGTCCAAGTCATGAGACTCGAGTCCACACCTCTGGTTAATACTGTAGTGAAACAGTGACAACAAGTGCTTCATTTGATTAAAATGTAAATATGTACACAAAGAACGAATAAAAAAAAAATTAAACCTTTAGATTAAAAGTTTTAAGCTTACGCTATCTAAAATATAGTCCATCAGCCTGCTATAATTATTTCCCCCGCTATTTCTGTATGCTAATAACAAAGTTATTATTTTCTCTACATCTCCTCCATTTTTAAGTTACCCTTAAAGATATTATTTAAAATCACTACTTTTACCTTTGCGGTGAGTCGGGGGTCGTGAGGGGCTTCCCATGGAATATGGCTGCTGTAATGCTTGAATGATAACAATCCTCCAGTCACTAGGTGGCAGCAAACCATATAGTGGTTTGTACAGAAAAAAAATATGTATGTTATCAGGTTCTTAATAGTATTAAAATTCGTGTGGGTTGGGGGGGCGGAGACATGAAAACATTCTGTCGCCAAAGGGGGTATGCAGCTTCTTGATTACGATCCCTTACTTTCCAACTCATGTCACTTTTTTTTTTCATCCTTTGGCTGGGTTTGAGACTTATACTCAGGTGCGCCATATATTAAAATATACAATTTCACATATGTTTTTTTTTTTTTTTTCACACTCACAGCTGCAAAAAGGCCACTCTCTCTATATACAGTATGTTTATATATATATATATACATATATATATATATATATATATATGTATATGTATATATACATATGTATATATATATATATATGTATATATACATATATATATATATACATATATATACACATATATATATATATATACACATATATACATATATATATACACATATATACACATATATACATATATATATACACATATATACACATATATACATATATATATACACATATATACACATATATATACACATGTATATATACACATATATATATGTATATATATGTATATATACATATATATATATATATATATATATATATATTAGGGCTGGGCAATGATTAAAATTTGAATTGCATCACTTCCTGCAATTATTTGTCCAAATATAAATGTAATATAATCCAAATGATAAATTGTAAAATAGTGTATAACGCACCTTTTATTTCAAATGTACCGCCGTATGAACGAAAGTGTCATAACATTTGTCGTGCAAACACTTTTAACATCAGCATTTTTTTTTTTTTAGCAGTTAAATACAATATTTAGTGTAAATCTCCGATAATATCAATTTTAGTTTCTCTCTACGCTGCGTGCTGGTTTTATGTTTTCAGAAGACGGCTATCCCTTTAATGAGTTGTTGTCGTTTTGTGTCTCTTCGCTTTGTTAGTGAAACTGTTAAGATGCCCATCAAAGGGCTCTCTGCGATGGGAACAGGAAGTGCGAATAAGAATGAAAGTGAACCGAAAAAGACACACACAGATGGTTCCGACCGAACTGCTGCCAGTCCGTCCGACCAGACTGTTGTCACTCAGTAGGTACGTATGTCTGTGTTCAAATGTATTTATGTATGCACAAGTGTTACATTACACGCATACCCACAGACACAAAGACATATTGGGTCCCGAAGGACTTTACAAGGGTCAGGAACCAAACAAGTATTGGCTTAATTTGTGTCCAACTCAAATCCATTTATTTTTATATGAAGTCTGATTACCATACTTTCCGGACTATAAGTCGCAATTTTTTTTTCATCCTTTTGGCTGGATTGGACTTTAGGCTTGCAACTTATATAATATATATAATATATAATTTCACCTTTGTTATTTTTTTGACACTGACAGCCCCTACAGGGTCCTCTAGGTTTGTGTACCAGTATCTGCTACTCCTGTACCACTGAAAATTTACGTTTCTTATTTTCACACTGACAGCCGCTAGAGGGCACTGGTATACTCCAGAGTGACATATATGGGTTTTTTTTCTCTCCTTCATTATGGATTTTCTTGTGTAAATACAGTAACTTTTTTTTTATTTTTTACAGATATGTTATGGAAGATTTTTCCATGTAGAAAATGAACACAATTGTACGTTTAAACATATCGCATATCCTATTCAATGATGTATCCATTCACAACTCTCAATAACCATCATGTATTTGTATTATTTAGTGCTCAAATATGATGAGGTTCACACATATTTTAAACACCTAGTCAAACCTGTATACATCCATCCTGGTTAAACAGACCTCTCGTACCTGACCTCACAACACGTCCTGTTCGGTCACACCCTTCGTTTGCCTGTATTCAAACACACACGTGTAACTGGATGTGTTTTCTCAAGTGGTATTGAAGGAAGATAAAGAGTCAGTGACGACAACCTTTAAAGCGTTATCACTTTTTCGCTTTTTCCGTTACATGTCTATAAACACGTGTTCAACCTGGATTGAATTATTCTCCTTTCTGTCATGTGACACAAAAATGCTTTGATGGGTCTTTGATGGAGATAGAAACTTAATGAAATCAAAACATTTCTTTCTTTTTTTGTTTTGTTTGAACCCTACAGACAGATGCCACCCTCTGCTAACGAACCAGCCGATTGATTGCTGATGTACAGGGGAACAGTGTTTTGTGTGTGTGTGTGTGTCACACTGTCATTCCCATGACACCTTTGCATCCTGTTAAAAAGGTGTTCACCTCCATTCTTTTTTGTGTTGAAAGGAAAGTGAATAGAGAACTCGCGCATGAGACAGTAAGGATTTTTGCTGCACTCAATAACATTGAATGATCCTTAAACACCGAGGAGATTTGTGTCTCTTTAACCTTGTCAGACCCCAAAGGACCGTATGTGAGCGAGCTATTCTGGTCATTTCATTTCACAGACGAATGAGAGCCATATCACAATTTTACAATAGTCGTTAGTTCTTAAAAAAAAAGTCGCACTGCTGGTAAAGCTGTGAGGTTCCTAGCATGTCATAGCTAGTAGCGGGCGACCGGCGTTTAGAGAGATCATAGTAGGCATTTCTAGTAAAGCGTTTTACTGTTAACATTTTTTTTTTTTTTTTTTTGTACTTGAAGGTGTGAGCCAAAGTTACGACCGCTAGTTGCTTACGAGGACGACAAAGCTAACTTCCATGTGTCCCCATCCTTTAGCCCAGTACTTAATACTCAAATAGTGGGGCGGCTTAAATGATAACAAGCCTCCAGTCACTAGGTGGCAGCAACTCCTACAGATAGGTTTGTAAACGGCATAGAACAACATTATAGCACCGCCATTTTGAATAGAGAATATGGATTCATCGTAGGCCGAGAGAATCTAAGTTCAAGCCATGCTTCAACTCATGCCGCCAAATAATAAACTTTCCAAATCATTTTTAAATTGTATAATATATATACAATATATAAAACAGAAAGCCCTGTGTGACACGTGATATGGTGATAACTTTACCTCTTTTTTTTTTTTTTTTTACATTTAACATTGTCAGCTTTTTATTTTCTTTTTATTCACCTGGTGGCATTTCGTGTAACCTCTGACCCTATAAAAGTACAGTAGGGATTGTGAGTAGTGTATGTGTTCCAAGGTTGTATTCTCAGGTCTAAGGAGAAAAAAAACAAACAAAAAAGAAACACAGTTGTAAAAACATATTCGTGTAATTCAGTGATGCGCCCATACTGCTTCACATCACCCCGACAACTGTCAACAACGATTGTGGAGTTAAAATGTTTATTAGGTCGTAGCTAATCTTGCTAATATGTAAACATAATATAGATGCGGTATATACATATGTGAACATTATCTATTTTTGGAATAAATTCAATGTATGAATAGGATGTTTTTTTGTTTTTGTTTTTTTTTTTTGCAGTTAGCTCTGTCTGTCTGTTTATCTGTGTTGCCGAAACATAGAAATTTGATGCATTGGTCACAGGATAAAAAAAGCTCAAGAGTTTTAACTATTAATTTTGATGCCATTTATTTGTGATGTTTTTTTTTTTTTGCTTTGTTATTACGGACATTGCGTTTTAAAAAACCTTATTTACATGCGTTAAGTTTGTCCTTCGAGATACATTTGAGTGGCATAAATTAGGTTGTGTATTTAACCAGAATTATCCGATAAGATTTTGTCATGCTTTCATTTATTTTTGCCTTGTCTCTTGCTTTTCAGGGTAGGGGTTGATTTTAGTTACATTTATTTCGAGTCTCTTGCTTTTCAGGGTAGGGGTTGAGTTACATTTATTTCAATTTTTTTAAAAAAAGCACTTTTTCTACGGTAAATGCACTTTTAATTTGTATTTGGTAATGTAAAAAAATGCACTTGTGCGTACACCGTACATCGGCAGGTATTTGTTTTTGGTTATAGTTTCTGCCAAAGTGTGAAAGGATGCATACCAGACCTCTGTGTCCTTACAGCGGTCTGATGGATTTGTTCAAAGTCTTTCCGTGTTGGTTGGATAACGATGTGGGGAAAAACAGAGTTAAACTTTGAGACGTGTTAACACAGTTCCAGTCAGATTTAGAAAAATAGAGCTGAAAAAATCAAAACAAAACATTGCGGTGCACATGTTACAGCGTTACATTAGACCATTGTCTTTTCTGTTTTCATTTGTGTATGTATTTGGACCACCAAGTGTGAGAGTTTGTGTGGGTGCATGTGTGTGGCCGAGTGCAAATTTGCTGTGTTGAACATTCAAAGATTTAGATTATACAGTAAATATTTGTAATGATTTATGGCACCACAATAGTAACACAGTTAAAAGATTAGATAAAAGACACATGTAAAAGTAATGCATAAAGGCTAAAATACTTTTATTATTTTCTACGCCATCTATTGGGGAAACGTGGGTATTGCAGGGAAAAGGTAGAAGTATAATAATTTTTTTTTTTTTTTTAATTATATAATTTGGAAAAGTTTGGCGGGCTGGAGTAAAAAGCTGAACGGGCCGCATCCAGCCCATGGGCCTAAGGGTTGGCCCATGCTTGTATTAGTACATGTACCAAACTATCATTATTTCAAAGCAGGTATACAATTGAATGTACTTAGTTTAATAATCAGCAAAACTCAAATGTATCCTTCTTCCTTCGGTGAATGATTCATCAGTACAATAAGTAAATTGATGTGTTTGTTTGAGTGTATGTAATGTCACCATTTACAGGATGTTGCGCAAAGTTAGGTTGAGCATTTGGGGTGAAGCATTGGATCGGACTTGCTACAGTTGTTTTTTTTTTTTTCAATGTTTGATCCTGAAATTTTGACCAATATCAAACCGATACCAATCCTGAGTAAAGAATCAAGCCGTCCCTTGTTTAAACTGTAATCTGAATGTTGATTATTTATTTATCCATTCCTTTTGTTTACTGTGCCTACTAGTTGCAGTCACATATTACTAGAACAATCCGATGCAAACTAAATAAACGTTAGACGAAAAAACACTGAAACACGAGCCGGTGGTTGTGTCACCTGTACACATATGGCAGCACTGTTTACTTTAAGGGCAGCTGAGCCCTTATTGTGTCCCTGGCTGACATCTCTGCAAACACACAGACAGTCTCCACTACAGTCACACACACACACAGTGTCATACTGCAATAGAAAAAGAAAACAAAAACAAAAACGTTTTATGTCTCATGCTTTAGATCAGCCTCAGCTGCAAATCGGAAATGTGTGAATTAATGTTAAAGTGTTCGTAAACATATTCATAAATAAAAATGTGTTTTGAAAGTTGACTCTACGTGTCTGCATTGTTGTGCGTACGTTATCTACTTATTACTACTTACTAAAAACTCCCCTTCTACCACTTTTCTCAACCGTAGTGGAAAACTGCCTTTTACTGTGTCATCTGCTCCTCTCCATACTGCAGTAAAATACAAGTTTTCTAAGGATACATCGAGTTACGAGTGCTCAACCGAGCTCCATTTTTCCACCTGACGCGCTCACTGTCCCTCAATTGGTTATTTTACCCATTGTTTTATTTCTCTTTTTCTCTCTTTATATCATCTAAATCAGACCTGGGCAAACTACGGCCCGCGGTTTGGCATTTTAATCCGGCCCGCCAAACTCGTCCATTGTATTATTCATTTCTATTATTTTTTTACACTTACACTGTCTTTTTCCTGCAATGCTCGCATTTCCCCCAATAGATAGTGTATCTATGTACAGTATCTAAGGCTAACATTTTAGCATGTTAGCCTTTATGCATGCTATTTTACATGTCATTCATCTTAGTTTATCTATGTTTTTGGATGTTTAGATGAGGGGAATTTAATTAATTAATAGTTTATTTCTGGGGGCTGGAACAAATTAATTGTTTTTTGTTTGTTTGTTTTTTTTTAATGGGGAAAATACCATCTAGAAGCCCCACTATACTCCATAAGGTATAATAGATATAACAATTGGTTATTGTTTATTCAAGTATTGAACACAAATGTTGTTTATTGCTGTGTAAATAAATACAAAAAAAAAATTCTCATGTTGATAATTTGGCCCCTGGGCCTTGAGTTTGACACGTGCTGTACGGAGGTGAGTATGAAGAACAGTATGTCAGCACACTGTGGACTGAAGGACGAGGAGGAGGACGAGGAGGAGGAGGAGTTCGGGTTTGTACTTACATGGCTTGTTGATAAACCTGCCTGTCTGCTTCGAGTTGGAGAGGAGGAGCCAGTGGTTTGTGGAGTCCGGACAAAAGAGACGTGATACTGGATCACTGGAGCTAAAAGCAGACAGACAGCTGGAGGGCTTAACTTTTAGCATAAGGCACAGTTTTTCAACCTCGGCACTGCATTTGTGTGTATTCGGGCATTCGGAAAGGTTCGGGATGCGTTTGTGAGCACTTTGGAGATGAGTGTATAACCGGAGACAAGTTTTTGGACACACAAGGGTGTGGGTGTGTTTGTGTGTGTAGTAAGTATGTTGGGGATGGAAAAGTGGGGCTAACTGTATGCCATGGGGGGTTGTCAGAGTTACCCCTCAACTACAGAGGCAGATAACAAGACTCTTCCATCGTCTGACGTCAGCAGCGAAAGACTGTAAGAAACAGCTTATATACATATATACATATATATATATCTTTGTCAAATCACTTTATGTTTTGGTGTACTGTTACAAAGTAACGTATTAGCATGTTTTTGCTGTCTATCCGCAGTAAGACCTGGAAAGAGAAATGTGTGTAACAACTGTAGCTGTGTATTCTTTTTTATTCTTTTTCTTTCTTTTTTTTTTCCAAAACTTTCATCGCTGTGCTGCACATGGTCTACGCACTAAGGAATGTTGTTCTGATAAGCGCATGTGGTTGACATATTTGTGACATGGCATCAGTGAGAACACTGTAGTCACAGCCGCCTAACAGTACTGCTGTTCTAGCCTTTGGAAGAATCAAACGTGGATGTGACGTCATTTCAAATCCGTCGTTGCTGTGCAAATGCTTATTGTGTGTGAGTAGTCGTTGAGGGGTGCGTATGTCCTTTTCTTTAACTTTAACGTTAACTTTAACTATGGAAAAACATATAAACACGGCTGAGGGCAGGGCTGCTTAATACTGTTTATACACCAACGCTCCATATGATGTGTTTGTATGTCGTAAACTAGCGAGCAGGAGGCGGGAACCTTCGGTTACTATCGCAGAGTTGTGGCCAGAATGTAAACAAAAGAAGTGTTAAGGGAAGTTGGTGACGGCGTGGATTTTCTCTGTATTTCTTCTTTACTGTGGAAGAACACAAGCAGTAATGGGGTTTAAAAATCATTTTCCATCGCATATCTATCTATCTAATTTAAATACTATACTAATAGTATTTTAGTGTTAATAGGAAGTGTTAAAAAACAAAAGTTTGTCTAAAACGAAGAATTTGCCTTGAAGTACTTGACGTTCAAAAGTAAATGTTTTTTTTTAAAAATGCACTCAATTTGCCCTCAAATACATAGCAATAACCTATTTCATGGTTAAAATTCAGAAGAAAAAAATACCAAAAACAATTATGTTGTGTCAACTATTGATTAGAAGCAGTATACTGTACTATACTAATACATATGCTGTAAGATTCTAAAAAGTCTTCCAAAACAATGTGCAAGATAGATAGATAGATGTTTACGGTGCGACGTATCGTTGACAATCACACGGAGCATTTGTACAGGAGGGTGTTTGGTTTTCTCCAACTGTATCTATCTCAACACAAACAAAGCAAGAGTAAGTGAAACCTCACACTCCACAATGTTGTTTCGTATCGCCTCAGGTTAAGCTCAGGTGGCGTCAGGTCATACAGCAGCTGGTTATTTTATCTTGACGAGTGTCCTACTAATAAAAATTTTTAGTGACATTTATTTTCCCATGACAGTTTTACCTGTTTTGTTAAAATGTTTGACTCAAAGAAAACAAAAACAAAAAAATGGTAACAATTCAAAATTGCTAAAAGTATTACTCAAAATTACGGGTGTCAAACTTAAAAAAAAAACAGTAGGACAAAATAAAAAGTTGGCATGCAGTTATGGGCCAAACTAAATATGTATTAAAAAGATTGACTACAATTCTACACGTTTTCCCTTCTCTCCTGATATGTAATGTTGATTTTTTTTTTTTCCATATGGAAACAAACTTTAGTTTAGCGTAACAATTGAATCTGGAACGACCAGTGCTTAATATTATAAACACATGAATTTCATTTTAAATAAGACACACATCAGTAGTATTTGTCTCTCTCTCTCTAGCCTGTTGAGTTACTTTTTAATGTAAATCTTTTTCCACAGGCCAACAAAAGAACATCCAAATGTATGCATTATACTGTAATATAGCGCATACCCTGCTAATACTACAAATCCCACCAGTATATAGTATATTAGATATGATCTTGCGGGCCAATTTTTCCTCACATTAACTCTCCACTGTCTTCCCAAGGGGCATCAATAATAATCTGGAGGAGCGTCCGTATCTGCAAGAACAGTATGTGTGCCAAAAAATCACAGAGACAGACATTTTGGCTCTCACAGCCCTGCCGCCAGGGGTGGACAAAGCAGAATGGCTTGCCAGCAACAGTGAGAAAAACAAAACAAACAAACAAACAAAGCAATGATTATTTATTTCTCCTGTCATTTGACTTCTTCTTCTTTTGTTTTTTTCCACACAGCGGTGACTTTTTTCAAGCACGTAAACCTGTTCTCCAGTGCACTGTGTGAGTTCTGCACTCCCACCACCTGTCCAACTGCACATGGACCTGGAAACATGTGAGTAAAAAACATGAACGATGAATGTTCTGTGTCTGTGTAGAACGACACTACACCGCCGCAATAATGGCTTGTGATCCCATTTTGACTATCACAATTTTCGGACAATTTCAGAGACATTTTTTCTTTTCTAGAGTTCGTTTTTTGGTCATGTTTATTAAACTGTGTTCCAAATACAGAGCAGCAGTGCACATTTTAAAATGAGTTTCTTTTTCCAGCACCAGCTCAGATATTTTTAAATTATTATTAATTATCTATATATATATTTATATATTTATCTTTTTTTTTAAGTCATAAGCTCTGTCTAACATTCAATTTTGCTAATATATGGCTGCACCATAGGGTCCAAGAATCCTATCTCAATATGTTTTTGGCTTATTATGGATATGCAATATAGAGGTCAATATTTACTTAAATAAAAGAATAAAAATAAAAATATTCCAACTTACAGAAGGATTTAATGCACATGCAAATGAAACCAAAGTAGTATATAAATATAGACTTTAATAACATAAATCATGCTTTTTTTTTTTCATTTTAAAAATAAATTCTTCCTCCTATGTACAAACAATATTCTTTTGTAGATAAACAACGCATATTTTTTACGATCTCTAAAAGTAAACAACTATGACTGTAAAGGAACGTAATGCATGTTGTAATGGTGCCTTTTGAATCTGAGAGTGCACTTTTTGCATTTTGCATTTAACAAATATAACGTTTAAACCCCTAAACAACACGCTACGTGTGCTACATGCTATCACGCTATGTGCGCTACATGCTATCACTCAATAGGAAGTACAGAGAGGAGTACAGGCGAGGCAGGTAGTGATGGGAAAAATTATATTAAAGAGTGATGAGGAGAGGAGAAACATCCAGAAACAGGCACTTATTCAAATGTAACATTAAGGCAAGATCACCTACATCAGTAAAAATGAGATATACGGCGATGAATGAAAAAAACTCCAAGCTAGCCAAATAAACAAATATCTTTGGAAAGTTTCTTTGCGCAGGGTAAAATAGCCCGCCGGTTTTGACTGGTTTTGTAATGTAATCCTCTATTTCCATTTGACCATGAACAAACGCTTAATCTGCGTGTTGCTTTTTAAGGACTTATGTCTGGACTGATGATCACGGCAGGAAGCTAAAGTGCTCCGCTCCTCTTTACTTCGACTACGCAATGTCTTACATTCAGGACCTGCTCACTGATGAAGATGTCTTTCCCACAAAAGCGGGTAAATGTATTAATGTCGTCGTTGTGTCTCGTGTTGCGTCATTCATCGAAGTCAGTGGTTCTCAAACTTTTTATACTCCGTACCACCCGAGAAAACATCGAGCTCTCCGAGTACCACCATGATGACCAACATGAGAATTCCCGAGCAACAGACGTAAATAAATAAAAAGACCAGAATAGACATCTATTTTATAATCGCACAAGTTACAAGCTACACATTTTTTTCTAAATTGTTCTATTAATTGTGCGTGGTATGTTTCAGATTTATTCAATTGAAAATGTAAATGTGAAAAAATAGGAATTTTCCCCTTTGTACCACTAGAGAGCAGTACACGTACCACAGTTTGAGAACCACTGCACAATGACATACCCATTGCTAATCATTCATTCCAATCGCTCCTTTTTTTTTTTTTTCCGACCAGGGTCAGTGTTTCCGACAGGCTTTGTCTTCTTGGTTCAGAAAGTGTTTTTACTGTTGTTCAGGACCCTGGCTCACATTTACTGGTCTCACTACAGAGAGATCATTGCTTTGGGTCTGTCAGCACACCTCAACACACTCTTCACCCACCTCACATTCTTTTGCCAAAAACATGCACTGCTGGAGCCTGAAGACACGGAGCCACTGCAGGACCTTATCACAGCTTTGGAGCCACCTGATTTTCCTGCATAGCTTTTTTTTTTTTAAACTAGACTTACATCCTTGACATCTCTTTTGGGAAAAGAAAGTCTTGCTATACTATATACTATGAGCAGCGTAGCAGTGTGGTCTGTACTTTTATACTGTGCTTTTTCTAGTCCTGATCACCATTCAAAGCGCATTACACCACAGGTTTTGCTATCTACCTGGATATATTCTATAAAACTTAAATTTTTTTTGCTTTAATGTTGCATATAAGTGCATTTTACAGTGTTTTTTTTTTTAATTATTATATTTTATAAATTCAGGATTTAAGATGTTATTTAAGTCTTCTTAGTAGAAATAAAAAAAGATCCTCTGGTTTGCTTTTTAAAAAGACAATCTACGCTTACTATGAACCGAGTGTGCCACAGATTCTTTTGCGTTAATAGTCACACGCGACAGTGTAAAGACGATCACGATGATGTCACCGCATTTGAAGTTTGAAGGTTAAATCTTCTTACTGTACGTTATGTATAATTCTGCGGCTTATAATAAACTTTATACTCATTTCTGAATGTTGAAGATTTTAAAATACTGTATTTTCCGGACTATAAGTCGCAATTTTTTCGTCCTTTTGGCTGGGTTTGTGACTCATACTCTGGTGCGACTTATATATTGAAATATATCATTTCACGTTTGACCACTGAAAATTTACATTTTTGTTATTTTAACACTGACAGCCACCAGAGGGCGCTCCGGAGCGACTTAAATATGTTTTTTTTTTTTTTGTTCTATGTTATGCATTTTTTGGGTATTGCAACATATACTCGTGATTGACTTATATTCTGGGAAATACGCTAAATTACATTCTACTGTAAAAATGTATTTGAGAAAGCCTGCATTGATGTAAACAAATTCTGCTTTCTTGGTGTTTTACTATTCAATTTCCTGTTATTTTTACCTAAAGAAAGTGTCTCAATCCGCATGGTTGGGGTTTAACACCTCAGGGTTTCAGTTAGGGTTGTCCAATATTTGCCGATATCCGCTAATGCCGTTGATGTCCAAACACTTCATTTCCGATTTCGATATCAACCGATACAGATATATGTAGTCGTTTGCCCTCAAAACTGTGGTAAACATCTCAGGACTCCACAAGCAATTCCAGCATATTTGGCAAAACCCCGGCATTGCATTATCAGGTTTTCGTTATCGGAGGAAAAACTGAAATTTATGCTAATATCGGGCTAATAATATCATATATAATATGTGAGAATTCTCAGGACAGATCTGAGGTCTTTATCATTATATATACTGGGATCCGTGACCAGATTTGTGGAAATTTGTTTTATTGCACACCTACTTACACATAGATAGATATTAACATCCACTTTATTTTATTTTATTTTTTTGTTTTGATTAGTGAAGAATAAAACACACACAGATTAAAGGACTTGAACGTTTTCCTTTTCAGATGGTTTTGGTTCCAAATTTTGTGTCTGTACATTACAACACGTTAATCCATTTTTGTTGCTCATTAAAACTTTTTTTTTTTTTAATGATTTTCAGAAGTCCCCATTCCTTGTCCTGATGTAAATTGTCACCTACACTCACAAGTGTTTATGGGAATGATCAAAATATTTGTATTTTTAAGTATGAAAGTCAAAATGGCCGCTCTCCACCCTCTTGTTGACTAGTTTTATTTTTAGAACATACCCCATGGACACCTTAGGTAGTCCACTGGGGCTACCAAGTGCCCCCAGGCACCATGTCGGTGATCCCTGATCCCTGGTAATGTCTGTAGGACATAGAAAGGACAACATTTAAAGCAAAGTTAAGTTGAGTCTGTCGTCATCTAGTGGCATATATTGGAACTGCAGTTGATGGGCAGAGAAAAATTAGAAATCAATATACCAAATTTGGCGGAATGGATTAGTCTGTTTGACAAAATCATGTACAATCAGCTATATACTGCTTCAGCTATATGGATGGATGGATATTTTCATCATACGAAAACTTTTTCCCTGCAATACCCACAGTTCCCCAATAGATGGCACCGAAAATGATAAAAGTATTTTAACATTTTAGCCTTTATGCATGACTTTCACGTGTCATTTATCTAGGTTCATACGAACGCTCCATCTTATCTGCTCCTGACCCCTGTTCAATTTTGGGACAATTGTGGCCCATAAGTCGAAAAAGTTTGCCCACACCTGGATTAGAATCTGATCATAATTCTGATCAAATCCCAAAATAAGGCTGAAATGTCCCCGCAGGTACAGTACAGCTATACAAAAAACACACACACACAAATGAAGAAGTGTTAATGCACTTGCTGGACTGAGCTGAGGTTTACGGTGTTGGTAACTGAGCTCAAAAGCTAATACTGTTAAATCGCTGAGTCACACATGTCCTCTACTTTAATTAGGTTTTGAACCCCCCACCTCCCCCCGCCCTCTTCTAGACACAGAACACTCTTTAATCAGGTCCACTCTCTGAGCCTCGTGTCTGTGTAACCTTACAAAGAAAAAGAAAAAAAAAGAAAAGATGACTTGTTATTTGAAGGGAAAGCAGAGAAAAGGATCAGCGTGACAGACGCTCAGACACATCGTCCCCTCTCTGGCTCAGATTATTCCACACAGTGTGGACTGATACCAAACCTGTGCTCGATTACACAGCTCGCAGTAGGTGTTCTAAGACAATCATAGAAAAATGCACTGCAATGTTCAGGCTATCTATAAAATGTACATATAAATAAGTCTTTTCAGTTGTGTTAGCAAGGGATTAAGTGCGTATTTCTTTTTGCAAGGTTTAAATTAGTAATGTAAAAGTATTCACTACTACTACTGCTTGAACTTGTGGTTCATTCAGTGTCATTTTGATCTTATGTATATTCTGTAAAAGCATATGAGATGAGATTAGATGAGATGAGATTAGGTGAGGTGAGATGAAACAATTTGAGATTGGATGATGACATGAGATGAACAAAAATGAGATGAGATTAGATGAGATTAGATTAGATTAGTTTAGATTAGATTAGATTAGATTAGATGAGATGAGATTAGATTAGATTAAATTAGATTAGAATATATTAGATTAGATTAGATGAGATTAGACGAGATGAGATTAGATACGATTAGATTAGACTATATTAGATGTGATTAGATAAGATTATATTAGATGTGATTAGATGAGATTAGATGAGATTATATTATGTGAGGTAAAGTGAGATGAGATGGGATTAGGTGAAGCGAGATGAAGAGATCTTGCCGAAGGAAAACTACCCTGTGTCTTATTGCTGGGCTGTATTTCATTAACAAGAGAAGTGAACCACATTTTGTTTTACAGCATAATAAATATGTGTGTGTGTGTGTGTGTGTATACAGTACATAGATATACTCAAACACACATACATGCATATCTATATATGTAGCCTTGTCCCGCATGGACCTAGGTCTCCCGACCCCTCCTCCTCACTGGCACCAGCACCACTTAATCCCAGTGTAAAGTGACCCCCCAGTGAGTCCCTCACTTTGTACGGATTTCTGAGCCAAAGGGGGCTCAGAGCGTTGAAGTGCTGCACTGAGGATGCTGACAAAACGAGGCACACTCATCTAAACAGGCACGCTACAGCCTAATTCTTCTCACTCGGCGTTCACCAGTCATACTTTGAATCACATTTCGAACTTTTGTACGTTCTTTTTGTTGGGATTTCCTGAACGCTACATCTTCCCGGATAGTTCGTTATCTCCAGCACTGTCATGGGTGCGCTACTGGCGGCGTGGCTGTGGCTGCTGCTCAGTCTCCTGCCTCTGGAGGTCCTTTCCCGGGGTGTGAATCAGCCAGACCTCCATGACAGCCAAAGGTACCACTTTCCTCGCTTTTCGCTTTCGCCTTCATTGATCTGAATCCGAAAATGTAATGTTGTAAATTGAGTTAACATGACATCGTTTGATTATAACGTTTTACAGCTTTCTAGAGGTTAAAGTTTTCTATTTTATTTTCACAGACACAGTTCGTTGTAGTAAGTACTACTAAATTGATAGTAAAACTGACATTGTGGAATAAAAAGAAGTATTAGAATCAGAAAAGAAGATAAGTTCATTTATTTTGCTTTGTGCCACCTGTCAGCCAAGGACGTGGGAAAAGGTCCAGTAGCGAGGTATGATGAGGTAATTCCTCTTAGCAACAGCAGGAGGTGAGGCAGAAGTGAGGGTGGTTTAGACAGATTGGGCAAAGGGATATATGAACCTATTCTGAAGGAGGGAAGGAAAGGTTTAACACACCAGCTGGTTTGTTAAAATGCTTTATACAGTCTATAAAAAAGACTGTATAATTGTGGATATTGCGGCTCTCAGCACATCGTAGATTCCTCGCCCTTTGGTTGTCAGAGGGGTAAGGAGTTTTTTTCGTCCTGAAAATAATTTAGACTAATAACTGGTTTGGTTTGGTAAATTATATTAACTCATTTTCGGTTAATGAGTAAAATATATTAAACGAAAATTATTTTAAATTTTAATTTAATTCGTTACGGCAGATACGTCTCCGACACCTTGTGTCAGGTGACGCGTAGGATCTGCAACAAGTGACGCAGCAGACGTTGAAGTGCTGCGCAGAGGATGCTGACGAATGATGGGAAGACCGACTCTTTTTACAGATTCGGATCTTTGACTCTCGAACAGTAAATTGAACAAGTCGTGAATGAATCTTGAACGAATAATTTCATTCGTTTTACAGCAGGTGGCGCTTTAGCACTATTGTGGGCGTTGTAAAGAAGGCTGCGGTTCTCCGACACTAAATACTGAAGGCAACATGGTTTGCTTCCGCTGACAAAGTCTACAAAGTACACAAAATGCCATAAGCAATTAAAAAATGTGAAAACCTAAGAATTAAAAACACACCACAATGTGAAGATGAATGAGAGCAAAAGAGACCCGAGCTCTCTGTCACGTGACAAATGAAACGAATCTGCGAGAACAAAGCGAAAGATTAGTTCACAGTGAAAGATTAGTTCGCAGAGAGTGATTAGTTCGCAGTGAGTGATTCGTTTGTAATGAGTGATTAGTTCACAGTGAAAGATTAATTCGCAGAGAGTGATTCGTTTGCAGAAAGTGATTATTTGTGAGTGATTCGAGTGATAAGTTCAATATGAACAAATTTTTCATACGACTAGGGAGTCACGGAATCACTCGCGAACGACACATCACTAATGCTGACAAAACGAGATACTCATCCAAACCGGACACGCTACAGCCTAAATCTTCTCAGTCAGCGCTTACCATTCATTTAAAAAACAAAAACCGTTTTTAATTCAATTTAATTTGTTAGATACGTCTCTTTGTCTTGTGTCACGTGACGCGTGCGGGCTTGCAACAAGTGACATGCAGATGTGTCACTACTAGTGATGTTCGATACCACCAATTTCCTTTCCGATCCGATACCGATATTTTATCATTTGTCTTTTAAATAAAAAAAAGTGTATTTCAAATCATAGCTTCTTTCAGAATCCAAAGCAGAGTTTTTTATTTATTTATTTATTTTAAACTCTGGAGTGTACTGAGGTAGCTGCCTCATTTAAGAGCCGAAATTCCCATCAATAGTGACTGAGTGAGAGCACGGAGTAGAGCCTCCTGTGCTTACGCATGACGCACACACCCAGGCGGAAGAAGAAGTAGTCCCACCAACCGAGCGTCACTTAGACAACATCTCAATCGTTTGGATACTTTTCACCATGTTTCTGTTTAGGATACACCTCATCTCAGAATGCGTAAGTGTCAAAAGTATCGATATTTTGATTTCAGAATCGATTTCAGAGCATAAAGATCCAGAATCGGAAGTATCGATATTTCAGGATCGCACATCATTAGCACTAGCCTTATCCATGCTTCTCATTAGCCTCATTGTACACAACCAACCATGAAAACTTGGATACACTTTGTAAACTCATGGTCTGGTAATTGTGGAAAAATACTTCAGGCGGTCACTAGTCTTAACTAGCTGAAGATTAGTAAGGAAATAATAATAATTTTTTAAAAAAAACCCACAAGAACACAAGACCTGTCGAATGCTTCTTTTTTGCAGTGCAGTAAAATGTCACTGGTTACCATTGCTACTGGGGAATAATCTGTTAGTCAAGTAATCTTGTTATTCAACAATTTCAGTATTGTGGCTTTTCCTTTTTATTGGTTTTATCACAGAGTAAGCGCTATGACCATTCCCTGCTGTTTATTTATATTGTATTTATGTGCATTGTATTTTTTTTTACCAAGCATTGCATAGTTTCTCCTCATTACATGGACAAATAGAACTGCTCCCTCTAGTGGTTAATCTCTAGAATAAAACCGGATTAAGCAGAGCGTTGGAAAAAGCACTTACTGTAAAACAGTGAAGTGTGAAGGTGTTCTGGTGAAAAAGCCTCTTACTATTATCCACATTGTGCTCCGTGTTTGCAGAGCTCTTCAGTAGTAGTGGAACGGAAGTAGCCGTCCAAGTGGTTCTTGGTGTAGGTTTTTTTTACATTTTCCAATGAAAAACACATTGGCAACTTCTTGTTAATTTGAACGATTTGAATGGAAATCATTTGTATATATACTGTTTCGTTATACTTGGTACTGTTTTGATTACTTGGTAAGACTTTGTACAACTGCCATGTTGCATCAGTAAAGTTTAAGTTAAAGTAAAGTTTAGTAAAAATATTTGAAAAACAATAATACAAATTTTGCCCCACCTCTCTTTTAGTTGTTATTGCTCAGTCGAGGTCTTCACCAATTTGAACACTATGTGGTGCTACCCTCCTTTCACTGACATTTTACCTACACTCACAAAAGAACACATTTTTTGGGGGGGAGTATAAGGGTGGGGGGGTTGGTTTGGTTGCAGTACTCCTTAAAAAGTGGGATGGGCCCCCCTGGGGGGTCATGGCGAGTTGCCAGGGGGGGGGGGCATGAGGGGCTTCCAATGGAATATAGCACGCTGGACATAATTACTAGGTGGCAGCAACTCATACAGTGGTTTATAAGGATAAAAAAATACATGTTATCAGGTTCTCAAAAGTATTTCAATTTGTTGGGGTGTGGGTTAGGAAAAAGACCCACACCAGCAATTCTCTGAATTGAGGTAAATGTCCTATTTGTTTTTTGGAGGAGGTTCCGGCGTAGAGTTCATCTGATTTCCTCTGCTGTTGTTTCCCTCTTCCCCACTATACTACTGCCAACTGGGTTGGCTCACAGTTTGTCATTGATTAACATTTCTTAGCAGATGAGAGACAAACAGATTTATTTTCTGTCTTGGTCAGTTAAAACCACTTCAGTCCAGATCAGTAGTCACAATCACATACGGCCGTTTAAACCTGAAAATGTAATTATTGACCAGCATGCTCAACAAAATGAATTGTCACTGTGACTTTGGCTTGTTCCTGACTGGGTAAACATTATTTTTGCTGTTCTTTTTCTCCATTTTAGTAATAGTATAGCTTTTGCCCGATAGTCAGACGCTATCCTTTTACAATGGCTTGTATACGACTTGAGTTAAGATAATATACCACTGTCTGTTTTAAGTTAGTAATTTGTCATTTATTTCAAATGTTGGCATTCGATTTGTCAAAAAGCAAAACCAAGCCTGTGGTTTGTATTTTGTAGGAAGAAACAACATTGTCAACGTTGTCTGTATCGTGATCTAAATTAATGAATAAAATTAGGTAGTTGTATACGACTTAAGTTAAGATAATATACCACTGTCTGTTTTAAGTTAGTAATTTGTCATTTATTTAAAATTTTGGCATTCAATATGTCAAAAAGCAAAACCAAGCCTGTGGTTTGTATTTTGTAGGAAGAAATAACATTTGTTGTCTGTATCGTGATCTAGATTAATAAATAAAATTAGTTAAAGAACTGCTTCCGGTTCGTTTAACAAAAGATATTGTAGTGTATATAAATAGGAAAAATAAACACATAAAACTGGGTTAGAGTTCAGAGATGGGTGCGTTTAGGGTTCAAATTGCATATTCGACAATATTTTTACAGGAAAGAAATGTGTTTGTTGAATATCATAAAGTTACATGTCACTAAATAGTGAAGGTTTTCATAAAATACCTGCTTACAAATAATTTGGTTAATACAGATAATTTATTTTTATACGTACATGTTAACTGTGGGAGTTAGGTGACAAATACAACACTACTTGAATCGAATTGGTTTTTGTCATTTAATCAAAAAAACTTTTGCTATCCCACCCCTGTTTGTCCTATAATTTTTCCTTCTCACATTTTCTTTGAATCAACCCTTTCTCTTTTAGGTTTTTGATAGCACAGGTTACAGACTAGTGTCAACATTCCAACACTGCAAGCCTGACTAACTAAGAGGCATTTTATCAAGTATCCACAATCCAATTCATCCTAAATGTGCGTGTGCGTGTGTGTGTACTGTTGTTTTAAATTTAACTTTTTGGAAATTATTACTTTTGTATTTATTATTCAGTAATTTGTCGTCCTCAATCAACGTGACAATGATAGGCAGAACAAGAAAATACTTTCTCTCACGGTGGTATAAAATAAAATAATAAAATAAAATAAAAAAATAAAATAAGAATAATAAAAAAAAAAGTCAGATCTGTTGCAGAAGATCTACGTGTGTCTTTCTTCAATTCCTGCAAGTGTATTTGCGCAATATATTTGTTCAAATAAAGGCTCAAATCAACAGGCTTGGTTTCACACTGAGTAAGTAAATTGCGAGTGAATTGAAAAGTGAAAGTAAATAACTTGTCTTTGTGACAGCACCTCAGCACCCCAACCTGAAACCTTCCGGACCCAAGTCCGCTCCCTTAAACGCCCACCACCTGCCCCTAAACTAGAAGATCATTAAATGTCATTGCAGTCATTTATTATGTCTAGCTTTAACATCTGCAGCATATATGTACATATATACAAATATACATATAAAATAATAATTCTACATCATTATTTAAATAAAAAAAAACAGCAAATCAATTAATTACAATATTAGAGGGACCTTAACGGTGACTATATATATTATATATTCATATATATTTTATATACTGTATATTATTATTTTATTAAGGTAACATCAACAGTAAATATCATCCTTCCTTTTCTGTCTTTCGCAGGCCAAGTGTAACGAGGACCTCCAAGTATCCAAAGTCCTCTCCAGATACCATCGTCATGCCAACGGTATCCAACCCCTCCATCAACCACCACATAAAGCAGAGACGCTTCCTCTGGAGGGCTTTGATGCGCAAAGAGACCGGGCCAACATTCCCTGCGCTTTTGCTTGATCCGAGCAGCCATCTGCTGCAGAAAACAGCAGTTCCGCTGAGAAGGTCAAGAGGTCGTCGGCATGCCAGTGTTGGGAGGGGACACGGCCACCTGATGAGAGCAGGGTGCATCCTGGGCACTTGTCAGGTTCAGAACCTGAGTCATCGCCTCTACCAGCTGATCGGACAAAGTGGGAGAGAAAATTCCTCACCCGTGAACCCCTACAGTCCTCATAGTTATGGCTAAGGCCAAAACCTGAAGTGTAGCAGTAGTCTTTAATGGATGAAAAGTTTTCCCTATTGACTGCACTTACAAATACTGTCATGGTTTATTCCAACGTTTAATTGTGTTTTTTGGTAACATTAGACGGAGAAAATTAGAGTCGCAAAAAAATACCGTATTTTCCGGAGTATAAGTCACACCAGACAGCTAGAACGCCCTCTGTCACTGTGAAAATAACATTCTCAGTGGTACAGGGACCAGCAGATATTGGTACACAAACCTACAGTGCCCTTTACACTGCTGTCAGTGTGAAAATAAGAAATGATATATTTTAATATATAAGTCACACCTGAGTATAAGTCGCAGACCAAAACCAAAGGATGGAAAAAAAAAAGTGCGAATTATTTTCAAATTAATTTCAAATTTGAATTTTAAAAATTTTTCAGTAAATACGCTGTCTTTACTTAGTACTACTAAAATACACAGCACACATGTGGAAAGCTCTTCAAGGCTTCAAGGTTTCTCTAAGTGTACCGCCTATAACTGATCATTTTATTTCCAGCACTTTATTTTCCGAGTAGCAGCACTGTGTAATAAAACATACATAAATAAAAGAGTTGCGTGCCGCAACGTTTTATTTTCCCAGAGAAGAGTTTCAAACTTTGTGAAAACAACTGGTAGTTCACATAAGTCTCTTGCAAATAAACACACACACTAATACGCGCATAGAGATACAGCAAACACGCAATGACGACAAGTATTCCACTGACCTCCTCATTGTTGTTTGTCTTTGTACTGATATCTCAGTTTTCGGGAAGTTCAAATAGTTACTAAAGACGATAAAAAAAAAAAAAAAAAAAAACGCCACTTGAAAATGATTGGTAACTCATATGTAGTACATTTAGAGTATATTTGTACACATACTGTATGTATTTGTATATATTATGCGCAGTGATGTGCAGTGTGGATAAAAAGTTGTAAGCTAACGTCGTGAGTTATAAGCTATATAGTATATAAAGAAATGATACCATCATGTGTGTATATATATATATTTATATATATATATATGGATATACAGTATATATATCCTGTATATACATATATATATCAGTTTGCCTAGTGTTTTCCTCTCTGCCACTGTCAACACATGGTCCAGTTTTGTGCTGACTATATGTATATATGTGTGTGTGTATACAGTATATATATGTATATATATATGTATGTATGTATGTATGTATATATATATGTATGTATGTATGTATGTATGTATATGTATGTATGTATGTATGTATGTATATA